TGACATGAAAGCACCTTTCCCAGTGGAATAAAAGCAGTGGCACTGGCCAGAGCTCTCCCAGAGCCCTGTGGGAAGGCAGCAAAGGCAGCACTTTTGGCCAGTGTGAGCAGCTGGAAAAGCAGGATGTGGAATGTTGCTGCCAGCAGGAACTTACGCTGTGTGACCTCCATCTCCGGGAAGTAGAAGAAGCGCTCGTTGCACATGTTGCCCTCACAGCAACAGAAAAACACCTCAGGGCTGTCCTTCTTCTCTATGCAGTCATTCCTGCAAGAGAAAAGAGGGAAAAGTTTATTTATTTTGTGCTAGGTTATCTTTGTTAAAAAAAAATGTGCCCAGCTTTTAAATTTCCAAGGTGAACTTTGTTAAATTGGCCGTGATCAAAGTAACAGCTAAACCTGATGAGAGAAATTAAATTTTGATATTTGACATTGCAATGAAATTTTATTAAAGCAGAAACACATTTTAAACAGAAACACAATTTTGTCATAAAGACAAAATTAAAGAAAACACCAACAGATTGAGGAACAGTTCACAAGCTAGATTTAAACAGGACAGGCAAGTGATCAAACCAGGCTGGAGATGAGAAGGGGAGTTTCTAAATTTTATTGTTTTTGTAGAAAGTATAAAGTTTCTACAATCTCCTCTGCCTACATTATGCTCAAGGACAGGGCTTATTTTATTCCCTGAATTAACTGCAGGAATGGCTTTTTTATTCATATTCTGCTAACAAACAAACTGAAACTATTCCCATCAGGAAAGAAAAACCAGGAGCCAACCTGACAGCAGAACTGGACAAGGCTGAAGAAACATTGCAGGATTTTAAACACAGCTGAAGATTTTGGGCTCATCTTCAAAACTTGGGGTTATTCCCTAGAGCCAGCCCTGGCTGCCACCCTGCCCAGGGAACATTTTCTCTCTGATGTGCTGGATCTGCTGCTGTTTGCAGGCACTCCCACAGCTCCCACAGATAAGATTGGGCTGCTCTGGACAAACACAGCACTCCCTGTGATTAGCACAAGTCACTTAATGAGGACTTGCTCAGTTTCCAGCTCCTTCCTTACTGTCCTTCCTGTGTTTCATTTCTTCTTCCAATTTCTTTTCTTTGCTCAAGGGAGAATTTATTCTCATGATTTCAGGATTTTTATTTTAGATTGTGGGACTGAGCTTTAAACTGCCATTAAAGCAGAAAACATCCTGGGCTGAGGGACAACTTGATTTGGGGAGAAAGAATGCAAGGCTTTCTTCTAAAAATTCAACTTTAAAGATTTCTATAAAAATTACTGAAATAATTCCTCAATACTTTTTAATGGCTCTATTTCTTAATTCTCTGCCTTCCCAAATAATAAATGTTTTGGGCCAATAAAACCCAGTAGAGTATTTAAAAAGCTGCAACACCATTGCTTAAGAGAGTCATGACCTTTATTCAGTCAGCATCTAACAAACCCCAAGTCCTGCTGTTACTGCTTGTGGGTTCTTTCTGGACCATCTGTTATCAACAAAATAACTGGAAATTTAGAATATTCTTAGAGCTGCCATTGAGCTTATTAATAAACTGCCAAAATACTTCCATGATCTGGTAAATTGGAGACACAAAGTGCTGACTTTCCAACTCGAAAGTCTTTGGAAAAATCAACGAGAGGATTTTGCATCCTGGTTGCAATAATTACATTTGCACTGTTTGGCAATAACAAGGCACTGCAGGAGCTATTATAAATGGACTAAAAAGAAGGTAAAACATGTTATCCTGCAAACAAAACAATGTATGGAATGGAATCTGGTCCCTAAAGTGAGAATCTGAAAATAAGATAATTATTCCCAGACTCACTGCTTGTGGAGGGGATGACATAGAAACTATGGAGAGGCCAAAGAGTTTGCAGTGACAAATCAATTGCAAAAATTCCTAGGAAAACTCACCTGTCATAACAATTGATGTCATCCAGCCAGCAGCCTTGCTTCACGATTTCAATTGATCCAGAAATATTTTTCCATGTGGCAAAGCAGTGTCTCCTTTTATCTTTGTCACCATAGCAGGGCTCGATCCCGCTGCGGTTGGTCTTGTCCTTCTCCCAGTTTGCATTGTAGTAGATGCACTCCTGTGTTTCTGACCTGCCCAGGATGGCACCTGGAGGGAAGGGAAGCACAATTCAATGGAATTCTGCAGGATCAGGCACAGGTTGTATAAAAATATCATTTACTGCACGTAGCAATGTGCCCTCTCTCCCTCCTTTTTAATAAAGAGAGAAAACACGCAAAGTTCAGCAGCGTTCCAAGTGTTGAAACATAAAACAAAGATCTTCTGTGAAGTCAAACAGTGACTTGCATAACTTAGCGAGATTTGCAGAAATGAAGAACAAGTCATGGCAATACTTCTCCATGAATAGCAATAGCAGAGAAAATTTAGAATGCTGAGCAGGGAAGATTTAATTAAAATATTCACCAAACCAGGAGCTTTAGCCAGGAAAATTCACCAAAAGGCATTTGTGTTTCTTATCTTATTACAGGAGCCAAAAGAGCAGGGAGTTCATCTCAGAAACCCCAAAAAGCCAAGAAGTGTTTGGGGGAAAGTGTTACAGAATCCCAGAGTGGTGTGGGTTGGAAAGGACCTTAAAGAGCATTTAGGGCCCATCTAGGAACTTTCTGGATTCTGGTGGGGATCCCTTCAGAGTGAATGGGATGAAAAGCACCCATGAGGTGCTTCTGTAAAGGTGAAGGGTTGGTGGGAAGCAAGACTGTTAACAGAAGCCAGGCAGGGAGTAAGAACTGCCTTTTATTTCTCTTATTCTCCTTTTATTTCTGTTTTTCTCTTGTCAGACACTGCCCAGAGCGTGCCATTCACCTCCATGGGAGCTCCACCATTTCACATGTACCAAAACCATGGGAAAATGGAGATGGAGGAGCTGGAGAAGCAGAGGATCCACTGAGGAAGGCTCAGGAGGATGCCAAGGCACTTGGCCTGTATTTATCTGTACATTCAGAATTTTTAAGACATTCCATTGCCCAGCACACTGAAGCCCAGACTGGAGACAAAAGGTTTCCCTCAGCAGTTTTTGACGGATTTATTTGCATCACTCACTACAAATGTGAGCCAGCAGCCACTCCTGAGGATAATGAGGATTATTCCCACCTGAGCCTTGGGAGAGCAGCACAGGGAGCCAGAGCTGAGCCCAGCACTGCCCATCCTGAGCACCCACCCTGCTCTGCCCGTGTTCCCAAAATAGGCAGGAGCTGGAGGATCAATGGCAGAGGGGCAGAGCCAGCTGGGAACCATTAAATTCCTTGTGCTGCCACGGCCTGACCTTTACAGCTCTCAGCTATGGCAAGAAACAGATGAGGCAACAGATTGAACAATTTGGTTCTGTCAGTGCAATAAAGCAGAAGTCCTGGATTTCTCTCACACGTGCCATTGCTTTTCTCCTGCTGCCAAGCCCAGCTTTGAAGGACCACAGACAAGCTGAAATTTATAAAATTCAGCAACTGCAGTCAAACTAACTTTGCATAAATATTCTCTTTGTTCCTGTCTTCTTTCTTTCAGGTTTTCTTACCCATCTATTTTGTCATCCATGAATGCTGCAGTCAGTGACTGGCAGCAGTCACTGTTGGTTTCATGACCTTGGATCTGGTTGGGGTTTCTCACCTGAGCAGGCACCTGCAATGGCTCTGGCCAGGCTTGGGCAGCCCTGGATTAATCCTTCAAAGCAGAAAAGCAGGGATGTGGTGGAAGCAAGGCAAAAGGAGAAGGGGAAGCAAAGAAAGAAGGCAGCCCTGAGCCCATCTGCTTCCAGGCAGCTCTGGCACCCCCTGCACAGGGATGGAGCTCCCAGGGGACAAGGCAGCTGGCATCTGCAATAAAGTGAATTTATCAGGCAGAGCAGGTCTCTAATGGAACTGCTGTGTCCATTCTGAGTGCACAGGGAACTGCAGGGTTCTCAGAAACCAATCCCTGAATCTCAAAAAGACAACTGAGCAGAGATTGTGAAATTCAGAATAAATCCCTGATATTTGCAGGGCACATGGTGCTGCTGAAAGAAACCAAACTCCAGCAGTGGATGGAACATGAGGTCTGAAAGCTTGGGGGGAAAACACATTGGGAAAGCAAAGGGCATTAAATACAGAATTGAGTTGAGTTAGGGCACATTGGATCCCACTGGATATCTGTGCATTCCCATCCCTCACACTCTGTCCATCCACCACAGCTGCACTGGGGGAACAAAACCAACATTTGAACTTCTGAACCACTCTAAATACAGGAAACAGCAGAACTGGGAGCAATTCCATCAGACAGCTCAAGAGCAGCCTGGAAAACCTCACCCCAGGAGGAGCTGGAAGCACTGGCTGCCATTTCTCAAACAGAGAGACTGAATGACTGAAAACATCCACCAGTTTTTAATGAAAAAGGGGCAAATTGCACAGCTCCTAAGGACTGACACAGCCTCAGCTCAGGAAGGAGCACTGGGAAAAGGGGCTGGATGGAACAGGAATTGTCTCTCACAGGTATCACCAAAACCAGGACAGAAACTCCTGGGAGCTGATCACAGCTTTACCCACCAAACCCAACCCAGAGCAGTGCCAGCCATGGGCTGTGCTGCAGGAATGTTTGCTGATTCCTCATCTGAGATGTGAGAATGATCCTGTCCCTCCCTTCCCAGGGAAGACTTCAACACTTCCCACGTCCTCCCCTCGCTCCCAGCCCTGCTCTGCTGCGTGATTATTGGTGACACCACGGAAAGACACAAAGGGCAAAGGGAGCTCAATCTGTGATCTCTCACTGCTGCATGAAATGTAACAACATTTTCAAGCTGAAGTCATGAAAATTGATGAAAAGCTTGCAAGGATTAGTTTAATGGTGCCAAGGACACTTTTTTTTTTTTGCTATTCCCTAGAAAATGTACAATATATAAAAGAACTGGAGGGTGAGGTTCAGTCTGGCAGATACCTCTGCCTGTAACAAAAGGTTACTTGAATTGTGTTCTATTGGAGATGAATTTGAACTCTCTAAATACTGAAATACAAGGAATGGAGCAGTTTATTAGAATAAACCAGCAGAGCACCACAGGGACTGAGTAACTTATAGACAGAATGGCCCATTCACCAAAATACCAGAATTGTAACACGCTGTTCCAGAGGAGCAGAAAGGAACAGAAAATGCAGCATAAATAGAATTAACACCTCACACAAAAAGCCTTCAGCTGCTGCACAGGTGCCTTTTGCAAGTGCTTGCCCATGTGTGTTATTCTATTTGTTTCCACAGTGATCTCAAACACTTCCTAACCCCACAAATATATCTAAGAACAGACTACAAATACAGACTGAAAAAGCCCAGCTTTGATGTTCCTGCAGCAGGAAGCAGGGTTTTATCATTCTCTATTTTTTCTGATAACACCCAGGGGAATGTTTCTCAAAGGAAGAAGAAAGAAGTTATTTCCAACCTAATAAAGCAAAGTGAGCTCCAAGAGAAAGGATTCTGTCCTCCTTTTCCATGCCACCATGTCCCCAAACTGATTTTGTTGATTTTCAGACTAATATTAGTGCCATTATCACAGTTCTCAATGCTCCCAGGTCACACAAGGACTGTACTTCAGATGAGCAGAGCCAAAGCACATTCATTAAATCCAAACACAGCAGCAATTCACTCAGGCAAGGCAAGAACTGCAAAACAGACAAACAAGGCAGTGAGGTAACAAATCACCTGCCCGTGAATATTCCAAATTTAAAGATTAACCTGATGGTCCACAAAGCTGCTTTCTTCTTCTAAAATAATCCTTAAAAAGAAATGAGTTTGCAACTTGAACAAAGGCAAACTTGGTAAGTTTTAGTGTAGTTTTGTATAGCAAGAGCTGCATTTTTCTGCAGCATTGGAGTGGGGGGAGCAACAGGAAATCTGTATTTGCTAAGATATCTCATCATATACTTGGAAAATATTTCAATTTTTTTTGCAGTTCACACCTTTTCAAAATGGAAAATTTGTAAGGATGAGCCTGCCATGGAAGTATGAAATTCTGTAGCTGAGATAACACTTCTGAAAAAGAAGGAGAGAAGAATAAAGTGCTGGAAAACTGAAGGATGATCAAGCCAAAGGCTCTACAGCAGAGTGGAAACTATGGAGGATGATGTCACCTAAACCAGGGACCAGAACTGACAGTGAACAGGGGGAAGGTGAGAGGAATAATATCTGTATTGTTAAAAACCCCTTGGTGGTCAGTAACCAAAAAAACCCCATTTTTTTTTTATTCTGAGTCTTCTGGACTTACAGTATGGAAAATAAATCAGCTGCTCTAACCACTTGATGATGTTATTTTACATATATAGATATATCTTGGGTTGATTTGCATGGTGCTCTTGCTGAAGGAAAAACAAAAAAAAACCGGGATTATTTTTCCAATGTGTTCCTTCCCAGCAGTTTGTGCCACTGATAGGAGAAATGAATAATGCTGTAATGGGATTTTGTAAAGAACTTCCATTTTCTGCCTTCTACTTCCAAATATGTTATTTAAACCTGGATTTCAGGAAGTGGGAAAACCCCTAGATTTCTGTGGCCAAGTTTTCCAGAATGCTTTCAGAGCACAGCACGTGGCAGAAAATGGAGAAAAAGCCTCAGTGGGCACCTCTGTTGTTTAGGCAGAAATTCAAGTGGCACCAAGAGCTGAGATAAAGATTGGCATCCCCTGGGAATCTCCAGAGCCTTGAGTTCAGTGTTATTTCTCACACCCCCTGATTCAAGGGAACCCAGCACAACTCAGGCTGATGTTTGCAGGTTCCAACAAACATCAGTGAGGTGTGAGCAGCACCAGCACCAGCACCTCCCAGCCACGGCCTCTGAGCTCTGCAGGGAAAGCTCCAAAGCTCCCCAAAAGCTTTGGGGCACGGCCTGGAGCTGCTCTCATCTCAGGTGTTCGTGTGTTTTGGTCACTGCTGGGCCAATGTCCCCTTCCTGGCGTGATTTCCAGATGGGTACAATATTCCAGTAGCAGTAAAACAGGGCTCAAAATGGAAGAGATTGAATTTTACAAGAATCAGATGGTGGAAAAAATAGAATAGGGCCAAACAGTAACAAGAAATACTGGAATCATCTACCCAGGGAGGTGGTGGAGTCGCCATCCCTCGAGGAGTTTAAAAAAAAAAGCC